GTTAAAAAACCAATAAAATTGTTTTTTTTTAAAAAAAGAAAATTTCAGACCCCCTTCACTTTTGTCAATTTTGTTATGCTGCAGCCTTATCCTAGTTGTTGAAATTCATTTTTTCTCAATCTACATTCACCACACCACAATGACAAAGTGAAAACAGAATTTTAGAACTTAGTCTGTAAAATTATTAAACAGAAAAAAACTGAAATATTGAATTGGGCAAAATATTCAGACCCTTCACTCAGTGCTTTGTTGAAGCACCTTTGGCAATAATTACAGCTATTGTGTTCAGTAGGCAAGAACCAGACCAAACAGTTACAACAGCATTTATTGACTCAAACTGGAACTGAAGGCAAATGCCTGTAACTTATACTCTAGGCCCACAGAGCCTTAACCAATCATAATGCTTGAAAAAGCCCGCCCAAATATGAATGTTCGAAGTTTCCCTCCAAAACAGTTGACAGTTAGGGTGATCTAAAGGTTAGCTTCACTGTAGCAGGGCTTAACACAAGTACAGATATATTAAATACATAACAGTCTTGAGTCTTCTGGGATAGTACATGACAAGCTTTGCACACCTGGATTGAGAGATTTTCTGCCATTCTTCCTTGCAAATCCTCTCAAGCTCAGTCAGATTGGCAACTGTCAGTGGACAGCCATTTTTAGGTCCCTCCAGAGATGATCAATAGGGTTCAAGTCAGAGCTGTAACTTGCCCATCCTAGGACATTCAGAGAGTTGTCCCTAAGCCATTTCTGTGTTATCTTGGCTGTGTGCTTAGGATCCTCGGAAAGTAAAGTCAGAGGCCCTGGACATTGTGGAAAAGGTTTTCATTAAGGATATCCCTGTACTTTGCTCCATTCAGCTCTCTCTCAACTCTGACTAGTCTTCCACCACCAAAGCATGCTTTACTGTTGGGATGATACGGGCAGGTGATAAGCGGTGCCTGGTTTTCTCCAGACATAACACTTAGAATTGAGGCCAAACAGTTTAATCTTGGTTTCATCAGACCAAACAATTTTGTTCCTCACAATCTGAAAGTCAAGTGCTTTTTTGCAAACTCCAAGCAGGCTTTCACATGTTTGGCACTGAGGAGAGGCTTCCATCCAGCCACTCTGCCATAAAGCCCAGGTCGGTGGAAAGCTGTAATGACGGCTGTCCTTCTGTCCCATATCCACAAAGGATCTCTGCAGCTCAGAGTGACCATCGAATTCTTTGTCACTTCTCTTACTAAGGCTCATTTCCCGATTGCTCATTTGACCAGATGACCAGCTCCTAGAAGAGTCCTGATTGTGCCAAATTTCTTCCATTTGAGAATTATGGAGGTTATTATGCTCTTAGGAAACTTCAGTGCAGCAGAAATTTTATTGTAGCCTTCCCCAAATCTGTGCCTTGCAATAATCCTATTTCTCAGGTCTGTAGGCAGTTCTTTTGACTTTGTGGCTTTTTCTCTCCTAAAGTATGCAATATCGGCTGTGAGGCCTTCTATAGGGAGGTGTGTGCCTTTCCAAATCATGTCCAATCAATTTAATTTACCATAGGTTGACTCCAATCAAGGTGTAGAAACATGTCAGCAACATCAAGGGAAATGGGAGGCACCAGTGCTAAATTTCAATTGTTGCAAAGGGTCTGAATACTTAAGCTAATATGATATTTCAGGTTTTTTTATTTTTAATAAATTTACTGACATTTCTAAAATAGCTTTCACTTTGTCATAATGGGATACTGAGTATAGATTAATGAGAAAAAATGAATTTCAACCACTGCAGGACCAGGCTGCAACATAACAAAATTGACAAAAGTGAAGGAGTCTGAATAGTTTCTGAATGCACTGTATATTCCTTAGATCTTTGCTCCCTTTAACCTTCCACCAATCTTTCCCCATAACTCTTAATATGTAGTGAAGTTTTATTTTCACTCCATTTTTATACTAAAACATGCCTCTATATTTTCCTGGGTATGTACAGAAGGAAGAAAAAATAGTCATGAAAAACATTATTATTGAAAGCTTGTGTGACAGTTACATGAAACAATTCATAACTTTTCCCAAACCTGTGCTCTTTAGGGAGATTTGTTTAGACAGATTTCTTTTATATATTAACTTTTTTAGCTGATTTTGTTATTAAAGTTTTATTGCTGCTACCAATCTGGGCTTTGTAATAATGCTATCATTCATTATTACTAAGAAATCCAAATATCCATATTGTGATAGGAAGGGTTTTTCAAAAGAATGCCAACCTTATGACTTTTAAGTTATGTCAGAATTCCAACATTTGTGTGTGTGTGCATTGATATACCTGTTGCACATGCTTGCTAATAAAATGAGTTTGAATAACTATATTATGCTATTGTTGCCAAAACAGCACATATGTACAGTGCACATTTTGCCTATTAAGATCAAGACATTTAATATGGAATGGAAAGCACTATGGTTCAAACTGAGTTAGAAGCAAAAAACGTGCTGTAATTATAGGAACTCTAAATTTAAGCATTATTATTTGTATCATTCCAATGAAGGTACAGTCATCAATTGCTTTATCAGTATAGCAAAAGACATCCTTTTCACTTACTTGTTATGGGATGTCACCACAAAAAAAGTGTAATATACTAAATAAATGTGTCAAATCATTAACACATTAAGAAATAATATGGATTGTGAGTTTATTTTGTAAAGTATTAATTGAAATGTATAATTAAAATTGTACTGCAAATGTACAGGTAATCCTCAACTTACAGCAGTTCAATTAGTGATGTTCAAAATTAAAACAGCACTGAAAATTGTGATTTATGACTGATTTTTCACAATTACAACCTTTGCAGCATCCCCTTTGCAGTTCATATTTATGACCATTGCTATGTCCCAAGGTCATATTGAAGGAGTATATGATCAAACTAATATTGACTATTGCTTTTATTATGAATTTCTTATGCTACTATATATTTGTTATTGATTAAACCAATATTTGCTGTTTGCTTCTGATACGATATACTGCTAAAAATCATTTGTTATAAATTAACCTTTGTTATTGGCTCCTGCTTATATTATCAGAAATTATTAAGAACTAATTCTAGCTTTGTAATTTGTAACCTTGATACTAGTTGGCTTGTTATCTTGCTTCTGTCTCTCTCTAGGCACATCCCTGAAAACATAAAATTGTTACCCAGAAATATCAGGCCTCATAGATAAAGGAACCAGAGTAGGGAGTGAAAGCATTCTGCTGAATAAACAATTTGGCTAAGGAGGGGAAAAAACCCTACCTGACACAGGGCTATAGGGATGCTCCCAAGGCACAGAGGGCAGAGACAGGGGTCTGAACATATAAGCTATTCCTTACCTGCTTTTGTCTATGTTTTGGAAATAGTATTCAGCCAGCTTTTGCTTTGGCCAAAAATTAAATGCTGTTATTTTTTGCAAGCCTTGCTTTGAGTCTTATTCTCTTTGGCATCTCAGTGGCTCGAGGAAACTTCTGGGACCTTACAATGTGATCCCCTTTTGAAGTCTTTAACAAGCAAGTCAATGGAGGAACCAGCTTCACTTCACATGTTATTAACTTAATTTCATTTTTTCATTTATTTTGTCAAGTGATTATAAGATAACAGTTACAAGTGTAAACATAGTTATGAATACATGAAATGAATACATAGAAGAAAAATAAAAATAAAAAAACAATAGGAGAGCGGCCGTAGGCACATTGGTGCGCTTATGCATGCCCCTACAGACCTCTTAGGAAAGGGGTGAGGTCAATAGTAAACAGTCTAAGGTTAAAGTTTTGGGGGTTTGGGGAAGAAACCACAGAGTCAGGTAGAGTATTCCAGACATTGACTGTTGCTGAAGTTGTACCTCCTGCAATCAAGTTTGGTACAATTAACCTTGAGTTTGTATCTATTATTTGCTCTTGTGTTGTTATGGTTGAAGCTGAAGTATTCATTGATAGGTAAGTCATTGCAATGTATGATTTTATATACTATACTTAGATCAGACCGAAAGCGGCATAGTTCTAGGTTTTCTAGGTCTAGAATTTCAAGTCTGGTGGCATAAAGTATTCTGCAACGAGTAGAGGAGTGGAGAACTCTTCTTGTGAAATATTTCTGGACGTTCTCAACTGTGTTAATCTCAGATATGTAATGTAGGTTCCAGACTGATGAGCTGTATTCAAGTATTGGTCTAGCAAATGTTTTGTATGCTCTAGTTAGTAGTGTGATATTACCAGAGAAAAAGCTATGTAGGATTAGGTTAACAACTCTTAATGCCTTTTTGGCTATGTAGTTACAGTGGGCTCTAGCACTTAGGTCATTAGAGATGAGTACTCCAAGGTCCTTGACAGAGTTTGGATCATCAACAAGGTCTTGACTATTCAGCTTGTATTTTATTTTCTGATTTTTTTTTGCCAATATGTAAGACAGAGCATTTATTTGTTGAGATTTGAAATTGCCATTTGTTTGACCATTCTGATACATAGTTGAGGTCTTTTTGAAGGATAGCTTCTTTTCACAACTATGTTATTAACTTAGTAACTTCATTGATTCACTTAACTGAGGCAAACGTCATAAAACGGGGCAAAACTCACCAACAGAAAGTTTGGGCTCAACTGTAGTAATAAGTAGAGGCCTACCTGTATTCTCTATAGAGCAGTGTTTCTCAACCTTAACAACTTTGATTTGTGTAGACTTCAACTCCCAGAATGCCTCACCCAGCATGAAGCTGGTCCTCGCAACTTGGTTAAGGTTGAGAAAAACTGCTCAGAAATGACCGCAGTGATTTAAAACAAATATCAGAAGGAGCAGAAGTATTTAAAATTGACTAAGAAACGACAAAGGCCAAAGCCATGTAAATTGGGAGGGGGGAGAAGTTTAATGAAGCCTGGTCACTCAAGCCCCGTTTTCGTAGCCTTTGCGTCCTCTTCAGTGCTCACTATCGTCTAACTCTTCCCAACTGCAGCAATTACCCCAATGTCAGCACCAATCGCTGCTTTATCCCCAAATATAGCAGAGCATGCGCGGGCGGGGGAGAAAAAGAGGGCAGGAAGCTGCCTCCGCCTCCGCCAGCAGAGTGGTCCGCTCCTCCGTTTTCGAGCAAAGAAGGAAGAGAGGTGGCAAGTATGGTGGTTTCGGATTGTCTGGGTCGCCCGGCAGCCTATCTCGGGGGGGCGCTTATTGCACTCCTTGTGTCGGGCTTAGCTCAGCCCCATGGTAAGCCTTTTCTTCCCCGCCAAAGTATCCTTCCCTGTTACCTCGTAAGCGCTGCCTCCTACGGGCATTCGCATTTCTAGCAGGAGTTTTTTAAAGGCGCAGAAATCCTTTGCTTTTGTTCTGCCCGGCGAAAAGGGTGCTCGACTCCAGATACCTTCGAGAAGAGCTCCTCAGCAATGGAAATCAATCGACGGTTGTGGAGGAGGGAGAGAAGGGAAGGAAGGCCTCGCTTTTAACGAACTGATTCATCATTCCTTGCTTTAAGGACGCCATTGCTTGCAGTTTAATATTTTCTCTTTCTGAAGACATTAGGAGGTGCTTAAAAACAACAATCAAAATCTAAACATGCACTTAAATCTAGTGCATAAGATAAAAAAGCTGTGGACCACTTCTTCACAATTCACCTAGTTGGGAGGGATCTTGTTGGCTTGTCATATTCATTCTAGTCTCCAGATTTTGGGTAGTGATCATATTTGATGTCCTACCTCCCCTTAAATCACAGCTTCCTGTCTGCCCAAATTAAGTTATCAATTTTGCAACTGCTAAAAAATTAGGGATATTGTAACAGGAGTAAAACATAGTAAAATGTGGATTAGATCACATCACCACCAGATGGATTTGTAACTGACTGACCGACCAATCTCAATGAAACTACATCTACATGGAGGGAAGTATGCGGTGGGATACCCCAAGGCTCTGTTTTAAGCCTAGTGCTCTTTAACATCTTCATCAGTGATTTGGAGGAAGGGATAGATGGAGAACTCATCAAATTTGCAGATGACACGAAACTGGCAGGAGTAGCCAACACTCCAGAAGATAGGCATAAGTTACAGAAGGATGTTGACAGATTTGAACATTGGGCACTATCTAATAAAATGAAATTCAGTGGTGAAAAAAACAAGGTTCTACATTTAGGCAAGAAAAATCAAATGCACAGGTACATTATAGGTGGCACCTTGCTCAATAGTAGTAACAGGAGTCCAAGTGGACAATCATTTAAATATGAGCAGTGTGCTGCAGTTGCCAAAAAAGCCAACACAATTTAGGCTGCATTAACAGAGGGATAGAAACAAGATCACTTGAATGTTAATATCACTTTATAATGCCTTGGTAAGGCTACACTTGGAATAATGCATCCAGTTTGGGTCGCTATGATATAAAAAGGATGTTAAAAGAGCAGAGAAGAGCAACAAAGATGATTAGGGACTGGAAGCTAAAACAACTAACGAAATATGGTTGCAGGAACTGGGTATGTCTAGTCTAATGAAAAGAAGGACTAGGGGAGACATGATAGCAGTGTTCTAATATCTCAGGGGCTGCCACAAAGAAGAGGTGGTCAAGCTATTTTCCAAAGCACCGGAATGCAAGGCAAGAAACAATGGATAGAAACTAATCAAGGAGAGAAGCAACCTAGAACTAAGAACAGATTTCTTGACAGAACAATTAATCAGTGGAACAAGTTGCCTTCAAAAGGTGTGAATGCTCCAACACTGGATGTTTTTAAAAGGAGATTGGACAATCATTTGTCTGAAACAGTAGGGTTTCTTGCCTAAGTAGGTTGGACTAGAATACCTCCAAGATTCCTTCCAACTCTGTTATTCTATTCTAAAATTAAAAAAATTGTGGACATTAATTAACACTTTGACTCCATCTTTTCGTTATGTATATTATCTAATGAAGATCAGATGGGTCATTCGTATCGAATATTTGCTTACTTCTGCTTTCACCCAGCTATTATCTTCCTGATACATAAAGCTAAATTACAAATGGGAAAATAGTGTTTTTGTGTGTGTGAATCTTCAGTTTAACAAGGAAACATTTGTTTTTCTCAAACAGTAATCAGGGCTCTTCTCTTATTTTTTTATCTTTAAAAATAATAAATTATTCATTTTTTCATAATATCAAAATAAAATTAATTTAATGCTTGGAAAAAGTATTTTAAGGAGAGGATATGAAGCAGTAAAAGACTGAGCCACTGAGAAACTGCAGCTTGGACAGAAGCAGCCCATCTACAAAAAGAACATTAGTATATAAATATATTATATAAAGTAAGTTATACCTGGTATGGGTTTTAGTGTAAATCAACATTTCTTTATTCTTTATATATACTTCTATAAGTGTAGAGTTGTAATTGCAGGAATGCTCTTATCTTGGATGGCAAACCTCAGATTAAGAATGTTTACAAGTAATTACAACTCAGGCAAACAAAGTCATTAATGTAAAGGAGGATTAGAGAAAGGAAGTAAACATAACTAGAGATAATTCATTGTGTTAATTACTATGCTAAACAGTAACGAAAGTTGAGCAGAAACCAAAGTTAACCAATGTTAGAGGATTACTAAAAATGTGTATAAATGCAAGACTAGACTCCAATAAAGTTCATGATTCGGTTGATCATGATCAACACCTTGACTGCCTCGTCATTACAACATATAAGGTGCTGTTTTTCATTTATGGAATCAGCACTTTGGCTTGGTACAGATAGTCCTTGATTTACAACTTCAATTAAGCTCAAAATTTCTGCTGTTAATATTTGTTAAGTGAGTTTTGCTCCATTTTATGATCTTTCTTGCCCCAGTTGTCAAGTGAATCACTGCATTTGTTAAGTTAGTAATGCAGTTAAATAAATCTGGTTTTCCAGATTCTTGCTTGCCAGAAGGTTGAAAAGTAATCATATGACCCTGGTACAATACAACTGTCGTAAATATGAATCAGTTGCCAAATGTCTGAATTTTGACAATGAGGATGCTGCAATGGTTGCAAGTGTGGCAAACGGTCATAAGTCACTTTTTCAGTGCTATTGTAACTTCAAATGATCACTAAGTGAACTGTTGTAAATTAAGGACTACCTGTTCTTAAAGAAAAATGCAAAGATAATCTTGAAGAATGCAGTTTATTATGTTGCTTAATATTGCTATATAATGCAATATTCTGCCATGTTGATAAGTTCACTTGGTATAAAGAGAACATAAAACAATCACAATACATTACTGGTTATGCTTTCCTTTCTGAAATGTTTTTGAGGCCTTAAAGTACACAACAAAAAAGAGATAATTCCAGGATTCTCAAGTCTCTATTGCTAGACAAAAATATCCAATTCTGATTTTTTTATATATAAATATTAAATCACCTTCATTTTTGATTCTAGATACATCCAGACGGCCTCTGTGGAACTTAAAAATGGATCAAGCTTTATTACGAATTCATAATGAATTGCTCATTGACAACTTGTCCATTTATTGGGTCTCAGATTATTGCTATAAGGTAATTCAAATATTTAGGGAAGGGGAAAGTCCTATAACCTGTAAAATGATTCAAGTTGGATGAAATGCTTCATCTGAATCAAACTGCAGTTCCAATTTTTCAATTATGATTCATGTTTGCGCTGAGTGATAGTTATGGAAAAAAATGGGTCTAATCACAAGCAAATATACATAGCTAGCCCAATGAAGTACATTTTATTTTAGATACTAGAACTCTGAATATATAAAATCAAGCCATTTTTAAAATCTTGGAATATAATGGTATAGTTTCACCTGGCAACTACTTTTAGCACAAACCACATTGTTTATTCTAGATCCAGTAACCCTTCTATTAGTTTTTCATTTCAAAGATAAGAATATTGGTTCCTCTACTGCAAGGCAAATCAATTTGTTATGGTCTTTATTCTTTTTTTCCTCATTTTTTAAAGTGTTTGGAACAGGAGCTGATTTCTGTCCAGATGAACAGAACATCCAAAGAAACTCACTTTGTAGCTATTGATACTCAGCATGCCCTCACGCTGAAGGTCAATGATTCTAAAGAAGGAAAAGAATTGTGCAGGTTAGTCTTTTAAGATGCATAACTTCTGTTATGTGTTAGAGAAATCACAGAAGTATTTTATTTAGCTAATCCATCAAAAAATACTGATTTTGGTATATTATTTAATTTTATACTAAAATGTATTATCTAAACAAAATTCAATGGGCAGTTGTAGGTGCTGGCTTTATAACAGGGGTGTCAAATTCAAGGCCTGTGAGTCAGATGCGGCTCACAGGGTGTTAGATCCAGCCTGTGGGGACAGCGAAAATGGAGCTCGGCAGAGCTCCCTGCGCCTCATTTTTTACTATGACCCCCTCCCCCTCCGTTTTCATTGGCAGAGGGCTATAAAAACAAACCAAAAACAAAACAAGGAGAAATGTTTCCTCTTTTGCATTCAGCATGCAAGAAGGAACAGGAAAGAAGAAAGGGAAAGAGGAAAGAAAGAAAAAGGAGAAGGAAGGAAGAAAGGAAGGAAGATTATAATGAGAGTGAGGGAGGGTCTCAGGGAAGTCTTGCATTAGCACTTGGCCACCACAAGTGTTCCCGACATACATGTGACATACAGGCAAAGTCCACACCTATCATGCAACGCCTATGCCCATCAAGGCCATGCCTGCCCCCCTCCACCTTTTAAAGTCAATCACAACCCTGATGCAGCTCTCAATGAAATCAAGTTTGACACATCCAAACATCTGTGTAAAAGCAAAATTACATTAGAAACAGTGAAGTAATAAATGGTAGGATAAACAGTTCAAAGATAGAAATCATAGCAAATGAATTAAGAAGTATAATATGAGGAAAGTGAACATATTGAGAATTATTGAGATTTGCATGTATTCCTTAAGCTTACATATCAGTAAGAAAACATCCAAGTACATTCATACTGCTTAAAGTGCTCTGTTTCTTTAGCGCTTGTAAAATGGACAGGTATGTTGGAATTTCCCAACTTTGTGAGCAGTAATAGCATTTTATGTGAGACGTGAACTTCTTTGTTAAGAATTTTGATAACCTCATGTATCAAATATTAACACATCTGAAAAACTAGATGAGTTTAAGTTATGTTTAATGGGTTGTTCATTTTTAACTCTTTTAAACTTTTAAGGGCGTTAATTCTGTTCATATGTTGTCAGAATTGTTCTAACCTGAATTAATTTCATAAATATTTTTTCCTCTTTGCTATCTCTAGGATTCATTATCATTTTGGAGAATATGGAAACTATTCTTTAAGGATTAGGCATCTCCAGAGTAACATTATGAACGTTACGTGTGATATAATTATCAGTCAAAGTCCTCTCAACAGCTATCTCCGTATGTTACTTTAAACTTTTATAACTTGTGTTGTTTGTTTGTTGCTTTAATGCTTGTTTTAATTCATTTAGAAAACGGACTAGTTGTACAGTCATGCTTGGCTTAACTGTTTCTATGCAAGGGTGCTATCCCATTTCAGTTCACCCTATATCAGAGGTATCAAACTCAAGGCCTGTCATGATTGATGGTATCAAAACCTGTCAGCTGGTGCTCCATTCAAAATCCAAGAAAGAAATACTTAGACTCCATTAATTAGAGAAAAGATATCTTTTACTGGAAATCAAGTGGTAGCAACAAAAGAATTCTGAATCTGAGAAAAAGGGTGCGTAAATCACATATACAAAGTGATGGCAACGTTCCCACCCCCAACAGTTCAATTGGCTCATCCAATTAAAAGTTGTGTATATCCTCATGTAGGCATCTCCAGGTGGTGATGAGGCCTCTGTCCATTGACCTTGACATATTTTGATAAAGACCTGCAGCTGCGCATAGCATAGGACAGAAGCCGAAGCAAGAACTCCCCCCCTTATACAGTTCTGTTTTATAACACCTCCAGCTTACTTCCCATAACCATATCGCCCCTCCTCCCCCCGTTACTTATGACAGCTGAAAGATGCAAAGCAAAGGGAGAAAATCTTGAAGGGTGACATAGAGATCAAAGAAAGCCCGATAGATGGACTGCACATCCCATTCCCACCAAAAGCGTTCAAAAGCATGAACAGTGCCACCTTTCATTAATAGGGAAATTGGTTAAAATTGTCCAGAACAGATACCTTGAGGAGAGGGCAGACAACTACCTCTTTGAAGACAAATGGTGCTACCTTCTCCCATAAGAAAATATTAACCTTATGTGGATCTAAAATACAGGTAGTGGAACTCACAAATTTAAAGACATTATCCATTTCACCATAATCAATTCATACCAACTCTTCCCAGATTACCACTCAGGACTATGCATCAGGTAGTGCCATAGAATCTGTACCAAAGGTGCTTTTTTCAAGAGACAACTGGACTTTCTGTTTTTTTTTTCTTTGAAGATGTTTCGCTTCTTATCCAAGAAGCTTCTTCAACTCTCACTGGATGGTGGAGAGTGGAAGGATTTATACTCCTTGCAGACAATTAGTCATTTGCATTCTTTTAGTGAATCATTGAGTCCATTCAGAGGTTTATCTTGTAATCAGGGTCACCTGAGTACTGCAAATCATTGTGGAGCCTTTTTGTCATCCCTGCTGAGGGGGATGCTTCATTGGCAGAGGACCTGAATCATTTCTTTGCTCGCTTTGAAGTGGAGACATCAGAGATAGCTAAAATACAGCCACTAGCCAATTGTAGCCCCCACCTCATTATGGAGGAACAGGAGGTGAAGAGCATTCTGAGGGCTGCGGACCCTAGAAAGGCTGCCGGTCCTGACATTATCTCTGGCCAAGTGCTTAAAAACTGTGCTAATCTGTTGGCTGGAATCTTTACCAGGATCTTCAATCGGTTTTTATACTAATCTACTATTCCATCTTGTTTGAAGACTTCCACCATTGTTCAGCTGCCAGAGAATAACCTCAACGATTACAGACCAGTGGCACTCACTCCTATCATCATGAAGTGCTTTGAGAAGTTGGTCTGCCAGCACATCATTTCTGGTCTTCCCCATACATTTGATAAACACCAGTTTGCATACAGAAGAAATAGATCTACAGAGGATGCTATAGTCATCATTCTGACTCATCTAGAACAGGGAGGGAGGGGCTATGTGAGGATACTTTTTGTAGATTTTAACACAATCATTCCACATAGACTGATGTCTAAACTTTTGGACCTTGGACTTTCTTATTCAATCTGCCTTTTGATTATGGCTTTTCTGTCTGGCTGTTCTCAGAGGGTCAAATTAGGTAATCATATCTCTTCAGCCCTTATTCATAACACTGGTAAACCACAGAGTTGCATGTTGAATCCCTTACTCTATCCTCTCTATATGTGCATGACTGCATTCCCACTCATGTTAGTAATACTATTGCTAAATTTGCAGATGATACAACAGTGGTGGGACTTATCTCCGGGGGGGATGAGTCTGCCTACCAAGATGAAGTGGACCAGTTGCTTTCGTGTTGTGGAGACAACAACTTGGTCCTCAACACTAATAAGACCAAGGAGCTTATAGTGGATTATAGAAGGAACAGATCAGACATCCAGCCCTTGTTTATCAATGGAGACCGAGTGGAGCAAGTGGCGTTTTAACTTTCTGGGTGTTATCCTAAAAGAGGACCTGACCTGGTCCACATTGCAGCCCTGGTCAAAAGGGCCCAGCAGAGGTTATACTACCTGAGACTTCTCAGAAAACAACAACTGAATGAAAAACTGCTGGTGACTTCCTACTGCTGCACCATAGAGAGCATTTTAACATACTGCACCTCTGTATGGTTTGCCAATTGTGCAGTGGCAGATAGGACAGCACTCCAGAGGGTTAATGTCATTGCCCAGAGGATCGTTGGTTGCCCTCTCCCCTCTTTAGAAGAGCTTTATAGCTCCCGCTGCCTTAAGGAAGTTCAAAACATTCTCAAAGATCCATCTCATCCTGGGCATCCTTTCTTTGAACTATTACCGTCTGGCAGACAGTACAGAATAATAAAAACAAGGACAAATAGGCTGAAACAAGTTTCTATCCCGGGGCAGTAGTTCTTTTGAATTCTGCCGTATAGTGCAATATTAATGCAATATCAGGGGTTTTCAATTCAAATTCAATTCAATTTTCATTCAAGTATAGAATGTGAAGGATGTATGTTTTGTGTTTTATTTTTATCGTTAAAATGTACACTGAAGATGTCATTTAATTTCATTGTACAAGATGCAATGACAATAAAATAAAATATCAGTGTTATAGACTGGAGACAGATGATGTCATATCCCTCCCCCTCTGTTGAAAGAGGGCTGTTCAGTTTTGACATGGATGGCTTCTTCAACCCCTCTTTCAAACCAGTGGTCCTCTGTCCAAAATGTGGACATTGCTGTCTTCATAAGAATGTCCTTTCTCTTTTAAATGCAGATGGACTAGTCCTAATGCATTTTTTCTCCCATGTTGTGCCATGCAGTATTCCATTCCGTACCATCCAGTCAGAGTTTAAGAAGCTTCTTGGATGAGAAGTGAAACATCTTAAAACAACAACAGAAAGTCCAGTTACCTCTTGAAAAAAAGCATCCATGACCAGGATGACTGAGAATCTCCATAGACATAAAAACTGTATAGCTAAAGTCTAACGCTAAGTGAATCTGAACAACTTCATTCTACAGTTGTCTAGGATAATCTTCTCTCTGTCATGTAAGAGATGAAATTGAAATTGATTGCAATGGCAATTCAGTTTAAGATAGGACTTCATAACTGAAATTAAATAACAGTCAAGCCACAAGCATTTTCTCATGTATTATAAAGAATGACTACAGTATGTGAGAATATATTCAAGTCTCTTGTGTATTACTTATATGTACATATATTACTTATATGTATTTCACATTTGACGAAAACCAGGAACAGTATTTATTTCAATTTTTATCTTTTCTTTTGAACATTTCAACCAAGACATTTGACAGTTCTTTGATCTGTAATTAATATAAAGTTCTAGTAATTTGGATTATCTCCTGTTTTTCTTCATCCAACCTGTGTCGCATACTAAGTAGTATTTTAGGATTTGAGTAATTTCTATAGATTTCAATTCCTAAGGTTTTGAGACACAAAGAGAAACAGGGTTCTGTTTCCAGGTTTCTTTATTGAAAATATGTCAGTTTCTTATGAACAGGCCTATTTGTCTAACCCAGAAGTGTCAAACTGACAGCATCACGTCATCATGTAATCTATCGTGACTTTTCCCCTTTGCTAAAATGGCCACAAGGTTGACACCCCTGGTCTAACTCATAACTTAGGTCCTTCAGTCATAAAATTAAAAAAAGATTTTCTGAATGTCTGTGGAGATTCTCAATCATCTAGGTCATCATTGTCCCAAAAGTGCTTTTTCAGAAGGCTTTCAAGAAAAAACTAAAGTCTTAAGTTGCCTTTTGAAAAAGCACCTTTGGGACAAGATGCTGTAGACTCTTTTTTAAAAAATATAAATGTTGAACTAGACTAAAAAAATCTCGCAAATCTAACAGCAAAGATATTCTACAAAGTTCAGATAATCAACTAAAAGAGGCTGATAAAGAATCTCCTTGATTGCAATAATATAAATATGTGAAGCAGAACTGGAGAGTGGTACAACAGCCATTGAAAAGAAGAATGTTGGAATTAAACTTTGCATGAACCAGTTGGAATTAAGTTCCACCAGCTTTTACACCTAATTGCACTGTTCACTGGGGGAGTATATGTAGAGATACACATAGTCCTCATTTAGCAGACGGTGACTGTTCAAAATTATAGCAGTCATGAAAAAGTTCACCTATAGTTACTACCTGTTGAACTGTGTTTGACCCCTTTTCCCCTTCCCTCTCACAGAGCAGATATTGTCTAAACAAGTTTCCTGAGCTGCTTTTTCTGTGTCACAACATGTCCCTTAAAAAGTGCTAAGCAGATTGTTGTAATGACGAGGCAGTCGAGTTGCTTGATCATGATCAACTGAATCATGATGAACTTTATTGGAGTGTAGTCTTGCATTTATACACATTTTTAGTAATCCTCCAACATTGGTTAACCTTGGTTACTGCTTAACTTTCGTTACTGTTTAGCATAATAGTAATTAACACAATTAATTATCTCTAGTTAAAGTCTAACATATGTTTACTTCCTCTCTTTAATCCTCCTTTAGATTAGTGATTTTGTTTGCCTGAGTTGTATTTGCTTGTAAACATCCTTTATCTGAGGTTTGCCATCCAAGATAGGAACATTCCTGCAATTACAACTCTTCAGCAGATGTTAGTAAAGTTCAACTCTGTGTTCTCAGTAGATTAGAAATTTTTCACCTGCTAATTGCTGTCTGACACTGACAAGATTTTAATTACTTTCACATTACAGTATTGGAAGGAAAATCCATCTGATTCAAGTTCCAAGCTGGGAAAAGACACTGGAAATAATATGGAGACTGATAGGAAAGACTGTTTACTGAGAGCAGAACCGGTACACATACAGTGTGCAGTTCTGGGACAGCTGACCAATTGGTTTGGTTTTACATGAGCATTTGCCCAATCTTTCTTAATAGGCATAAAATATCTGCTGGGGCTATTAAGAAAGACTTTAGTATGTTTTCTGTCTTTAAGAGCATATTTCTTCATTTCTCTCTTCAGGGAAATATAATCTACTTCTTTTTAATATTCCCCAAAATATTTCATTCTTCATGGTGGGAGGGGGGGCTTCCCACAACAGTAAAGGCTTTTGTTACCAAAGCCACTGGCAAGGCAAACAGCCATGGCTAATGCTGTGTATTTTCAATGTGTATTCCTCATTGTGTGCCTGTTTACACTTTTGTAATTTCCTCCTCTCCAAATAATGTAAATACACAAACATTAATGTAAATATAAACAATCTTGCCAATTATCCCAGTTCTGGTGTGAGTATTCACTCTAGGATAGGGGAATGGGGAAAGGGGCTATAAGATTTGTCCTTTTTACCTGGTTCCCTTATAAGTCAAGTTCTAGATAGCTTTCCAGCCATTCAGGTTTACTTCTTTGGGATTGTAGTCTTCTGATGCTTAAACAAAATCATAAGAACAGTTGTGGTTAGATGATTTTTCAATTAGCGGTTGCTTCATTTAATTACTGAGTTTCCAATCCCAATTGTAGTTGTTATTTGGGGACTATCTGTAGTTAGCTGAGCATCTCTTAACTTTTATTTCCTTCCCATGTCTAAAAGACTTGAGTAGAATAGAATAGAAATAGAATAGAATAGAAGAGCAGAGCAGAGCAGAGTTGGAAGAGACCTTGGAGGTCTTCTAGTCCAACCCCCCTGCCTAGGCAGGAAACCCTACACCACTTCAGGCAAATAGTTATCCAACATCTTTTTAAAAACTTCCAGTGTTGGAGCATTCACAGCTTCTGGAGGCAAGTTGTTCCACTGATTAATTGTTCTAACTGGTAGGAAGTTTCTCCTTAGTTCTAAGCTGCTTCTCTCCTTGAATAGTTTCCACCCATTGCTTCTTGTCCTGCCCTTAGGTGCTTTGGAGAATTGTTTGACTTCCTTTTCTTTGTGGTAGCCCCTGAGATATTGGAGCACTGCTATCATGTCACCCCTAGTCCTTCCATTCTCCTCCTTAGTCTTGATGCTCATGATTTCAACAGAACTGTTTCCATTCATGTTGCTGCAATATCTTTGATCATTTCTTTCTGGTAGCTGTCAAAGCACATTAGCAAGAAATATAGTTACGTAAGCTACTTTTAGTCACATTTTGTGACTAAACGTGACAAATGGAAGTCACACTTTTTTATTGTATTTGAACTCACCTCATTTTACTTACCTAGTGTTTAATCTAAATATTTTAATATGCTGTTACACTTTGCTATGGTGCAATGTCTAATCATTATTTTTTTCCTTAGCTGTTCCTTTCCAGGAAGCCTACATAAAAATGTTTATTACATTGAAGACCTTTTATAATGCTTCTTGAAAGAGCTGAATAATTTAGAAGTTTTGCTATTTCACAAAAAGTTTGTGAAAAAGTGAAAAGAAATCCATTTTATGGTTTACATTAAATATAGGAACACCATGTTTTCTTTGTGCTTTTACAAGGTTTCAACCTTGGAAATAAACTAAGGCAATTTCAATTAGAAGTCTGAAATACAAATGGACCTTGGTTTTTTTAAAAAAAATATTTGAAAAAAATTGCTCTAGAATGTATACTTTATTGTTTACAGTAATTATGTTTTTCTTTTTGCAGCTATTTTATTTGCATTTCTCATCTACGTGGGTATTTTCATTATTCTGATGATTGGAAAGATTTTCATAAAGTAAGTAAATATTTTAAAATGAGACTAATTGGGTGTATACATTGTTCTTCCATATTTGCATGTTAAAGCTTAGTTTAACCATTGAACAATATGGCAGTGTATTGAAATTTTTCCCAAAATATATACTTTTGAAGAAGTAATATTTTATGTTTATTAAGGAAAGGGCCTTCAGTGGGGACTTTCTTTCTCCACTTAAAACTTTATCAGTTGGCTCCCAGAATTGCTTGTTTTGAGAGAAAATTATTTAAACAGCTTTAAAGTGCTTGATTACGACAATGTTTTCAGGATGATAATTTTAGAAGAACATTTGTGGTACTCAGGACTAAAATCTGATTTTCTAAATTTCTGTTTTATAGCACTGAACGAGTAAGAAATTGGTTCTTCAAAAAGATGGATCCTAGAGAAACTGATCGACTTATTAATTCAGTAAGATCTTTAATAGTGGGATCATATATGTTATTTTTAGACTTCACTGTTGTTTTCTGATACAGATAAGTCATGAAAGCTTAACTATACCGACTGATAATTAGATTTTTCTCTTTACAAATAAGTTGTCTTCAGATGAGTTCAACCATGCATGTTAACCATAAAGCCTGAGAGCTTTATGATCATGAAATAATTGTGTAAAAACCATCATAGATAACCTTCAAAGCATTTGAAGGTAACCTAACATCGCTGCAGCCGAGTTGCTTTTTCATGTAAGTGCTTCAGACATTGAATGACATATACTTGATTTTTGCTTAACAAGAGATAAAAATCAATCTGTTTAATAAAGCATATACTTGCATAAATGGATTTCATTGACTCAACTTAAATAGGTTGACTAATTAACACTGATATTATATTAATACTGACCTGTTTAGTTATGCTAGAGAGGAATGCTATACTTATTTTTTGTTTTGCTCTAGAATGAGGCCACATATAATTAAAAGAGTACCAAATGTGTCTGTGAATTCCTTTTGCAATCTTAATTACCAATTAGTACAGTGGTGAATGTACAAATTAGCCCAACTTATTGGGATCTGTAAAATGAAGTTAAAAATTAAGAAAGACAGGAAACTGCTACGATTGAAGGAAAATAATGCTAGAATTATCCAATTCAATAGAGAACATGGCATATGAAAAAATACATATGGAGAAAACATTACGAAAAGACAAGATCCTTGTCAGGGTTATCAAATTTATAATTAAGTTTTCATAGCTAATCTTTCCTTGTCGCCTTCATTTTTCAGGAACTTGGATCCCCAAGTAGAACAGATTCCATTGGTGGTGAATTCCCAATAGGAGTATGGAACACTACTTCCTCTCTACCGAGACTTCGTTCCCTGGATACCTTCAGAGGGTACATTGCAGTTCTGGATAATTCCTTGGAATTTTTCTGTAAATGTCTTTGGGAATATTATCAGCTGAGATTTATAAGTGCAGTAGTATTCACATTCATGAAGTACTAGTGGTAGCTACCAAGAGTGGAACTCACTTACCCTTTACTGTGATGCTGTAAAGTAACATTCCACAGATGTGCCAGTTTACTATCCAAATAAAGGGAGCTGTCTGTCTCCGAGTTATTGATTGGAATGGAAGTTTGCTGGAACGCCGACAGACAGAACAATAGAACTGGTTTAAAACTGTTAAAACCGGCACTTCCTGTTCTTTATTGTGTTAAGGAACTGGACTTGTGTAGATTCACTTCATATGTCCCTGAGGTAACAGAAATCATTATCTTGGGTTTGGAGGTTCTGATTTCCTGTTAGGTTGTTGGCTGTTGAACAATTGAACTTAGAAAAACGCAACACACTTAAGCCTCTTCTGGATGGGAATAATGATCTGGTACCTGTAAACAACATCCTATCTACCTGAACCCTCATCAGATTTAATCTTGTTTTGGGGATTAGGGTAGATTTTTACATTTTATTTTTTCATAATTTTTTAAAACTAAGAAGCTGCTACACCTTTTTGTTTTAAAAGAAAATCTAAATTGTAGCAGAGGTAAGATCTGATAAAACCCGTGTTGATCAAAAGTATGGGTAATAAAAACAGATACTGCAATCAACACACCATTTTGAAATGTATGCACAAGAATATGGAGGAGGAGACATGAAAGAGATTGTAATGTATGTTGCCTACTTGGGAGGAGGGTAAACTAGTCTGCTGGGTTTCTTTGAGGAAATGAAGGAATATGTCTTTACTTTGAATGCTTCTATTTCTTTCATGAGCTTTCTCAACCTGATGCCATTGACATAGCAGCATTGGGTGGCAATCAGGGAAACATAAAAAATCCATGTTGAGTAACACTATTGTTTATTTCTTAAATTTATATGCTTCCCACCTTATCAAAAATCTTGTTAGCCAAAAATCCTTGACTGACATGGTTAGCAGCATGCATCCTCTGCCAGCACAGGTAGTTCTGTACCATTCTCTAGAATCTGCAGTTTTCTGCGTATGAAATGGGAAATTTGTTGAGCTGGATGGGTGACAACAAATGTAATCTGGTTTTTGCAACTTAGTTCTTACCCTTGCCTACAATTTAGATTTGTTAAGCTAAGTTATTTTCCTCAATGCTTTACCAATTTATTTTCTGTGAAATGTATATTATATGTAAAACAGGAATTCAGAAGAGTTGTATTTCAAAATTTCCCTCTTTTGTATACTTATATTGTTGAACAAATTTTTTCGGCCTTAGCCACTTGAAGGAATCTTGGAGGTTTTCTAGTTTAATCCCCTAGCCAAGGCAGAAAATTGTCCAATCTTTTCTGGAAAACTTCCAAGGATGGATGACCCACCAGTCCAGGAGACAAGCTATTTCATTGATTAATGGTTTCCATTGTCAGGAAAATCCTCCTTAATTCTAGACCGGATCTCCCTTAATGAACTTCCATCCATTGCTTCTTGCCCTGCCTTCAGGTGGTGTGGAGAATAAATTGAGCCCCTCTTTCATGTAACAGCCTTTCAGATATTGGAAGAAGACTATCATATCCAAACCTTCTCTTCATTAGGCTATACATATTTAGGTCACTTAGCCACTACATTGTACAATGTAGTAGTAGACTACAATTTTTATTGTCCATATTTGTTGTTGTTTTTTAAATAGCCATTTTTTCCAAGTGAAAAATCCTGGAAGCTCTGCCTTCGAGCTGAACTCACCTGAGAAGCATCTTGCTTCAAGCTTCTTCAAGTATCTTGTATTTGTATACAAACCTAGTAGTGAAATGGGCTTTTCTGTTCATGTGACTCCCAAGTCCTGGACAGAGCTTTCATTCCGGCCCCAAAAACTCTTTAAAGTTCCCATTACACTGCCTGGACAAGCAAGGTCCAGGAAAAGAAGTGAGCATTTTGAGATTAACCATATCCTTTTAGCAGCTATTTTATGAAAGTGTTCATGAAATCTTTCAAGTATTTTTTCTGGTCCCTTTTGATGTTGCTATATCCCATCCACTCACCCCGTTAAAAAAAACTGATAATGTTTAAAAGACAATATTTACTCTTTGTTTGGAAGATAAAAGTATTGATCAAATTTACTAATGTAAGACTTATTGATGAACAATATTTTATCACTGTAACAATGAAAAAAGTGCATTCAGAATTAATATATGCACTCAGTGTGTGATTATGATACCTATTTGACTTTATAGCCTGGCACTTACAATTATGGTCTTTGTGAATTATGGTGGAGGAAAATACTGGTTCTTCAAGCATCAGAGCTGGAATGGTAAGATATTTAAAATCCATTTGTCCTCTCATTTTAATTATATAAAATGAAATTGCCTCATTTACTCTTCTGCTATGGGGAGTTCAGGAGTTTTTAAAATATCACTGTTCTAACTAATGTTCAGCAAGACTAGCGGATAGTTGTAGTTGGACAAGCAGCCATGAGAGAGAGAGAAAAGGGAGGAATTGGGCCTGTATGTAGTTTGAAATAGAAGCCTCGGAATAAATGCTTCTTTTTTTAACTTATTTCACTCCAGAGTACTACTTCGCATTGTGCTGATCTTGTATTATGTGTTTTAGAAAGTTCAGAGTTAACTGTTAATAATACTTTAGAACCAAATATTTTATTTAAGTATCTAAGAATAGTAATTCTCTATTGTTATGAACATTAATTGTATGTTAATATCTGTTTCTTTTTATAGGCTTAACAGTAGCAGACCTCGTCTTTCCATGGTAATTCATGTTGATTGTTAATAGCTTGAATTTAACTAAGTCTATTCAGAATAACTCATATGGGAATAACTAATTTGGCCTATCAGTTTGATCAGGACAAGTTTAGTTGGATTCCTAATCATGAAAATGGTTAATGTTTCCAGTGACTTTCTGTAAACCATAGTTTTAGACTAAAATTCTAATAAGTACATGCAGTTCCAAAACTTTATTTAAAAAAAAAATGTTGGATTTTTAACTAAAATCCTTAAAGTCATTTCCAGAACATAAACATTACAACATTGTCATGCAGTTTATTTATCAGAAGGTTGTTCTAGATTTCCATAAGAGAGACCCACTGACTGTTTCTCAAGGAGAGAAATCCTCATCTCAGCTACAATCAGTTGCAAATGTGACACCACCTTGTCTTTTATTGCTCTTTCCACCTCTGCTGGCTCAAGTTTCCTACGTGGTCCATCTGCTCAATTTCTTCCATCGTAGGCAGATGTTTCATTGCTGAGAAAGGACTGGGATTGAAAGTTCATGCAGGGAGTGTTTTTGAGCTGACATAATTTTCTGCTTGTTTCCCTCTCCTTTGCACTATGTTCTTACTTTTGCAGTTTTCCTCAGGAAATCAAAGTATCCATCCTTTCACACTGCTATCATATCTCCCCTAGTCCTTCTTTTCATTAGACTAGATATACCCAGTTCCTGCAACCATTCTTCATATGTTTTAGCCTCCAGTCCCCTAATCATCTTTGTTGCTCTTCTCTGCACTCTTTCCAGAGTCTCAACATCTTTTTTATATCACGTCAACCAAAACTGAATGCAGTATTCCAAGTGTGGCCTTACCAAGGCATTATAAAGTGGTATTAACACTTCATATGATCTTGGTTCTATCCCTCTGTTTATGTAGCCTAGAATTGTGATGGCTTTTTTGGTAGCTGCTGCACACTACTGGCTCATATTTAAATAGTTGTCCACTAGGACTCCAAGATCCTTCTCACAGTTACTACTATTGAGCAAAATACCACATATACTGCACCTGTGCATTTGATTTTCTTGCCTAAATGTAGAACCTTACTTTTTTCACTATTGAATTTCATTTTGTTAGATAGCGCCCAATGTTCAAGTCTGTCAGGATCCTTCTGTATCTTAAGCCTACCTTCTGGAGTGTTGGCTATTCCTGCCAGCTTGCTTTCATCTACAAATTTGATGAATTCCCATCTATCCTCTTGTCCAAGTCATTGATGAAGATGTTGAAGAGTACTGGGTGTAAAATAGCCCTCCATGTAGATGCAGTTCCATGAAGACTGCACATTGAGTGCGGTTGGTCACGAATCCATCTGGAGGTGATACTGTCTAACCCACATTTTTCTACTTTATCTAGTAGTAGGTTATGATCTATCAAATGCCTTATTGAAGTCCAAATAAATTATATTAACAGCATTCTTCTATATTTCAGTAGATGTCTATTTCAATATTTTTCCTTCTTAAGATTTAAAAGAATTTTTACCAGTGATAATAAAGTGATTTCACTGAGGAAGTTCTACTACAAAATGTGGGGATACATCAGTGCTGTGTTGTTGGCACTTATTCCTGTAAAGTGTAACTTTCTTTTCACTTCATTAGTGATTGCACTCTGATCCACAAGCCTCTAAGCAAGTGCTGACACACAACAGAAGCAAAACATAATGTCTATAAATGGATATAAAATAATATTGTTGGAAGAACAGTGGAGGTCTTCAGTGGAGGTCCCCTGCTAAGCAAGAGACTCTGTGCCACTTCAGATAAGTGGCTGCCCAATTTCTTCTCAAAAACCTCCAGTTATGGAACACCCACAACTTCTGGAGGCAATCTAATTCCATTGATTAATTGTTCTTGCTGTCAGAAATTTCTCCTTGGTTCTAGATCGGCTCTTTCTTTGATAGATTTCCATCATACTTCGCGTTCTGCCTTCAGGTGCTTTGGAGAATAGGTCAACCACTTTTCTCTATGACATCTCCTCAAATGTTGGAAGGCTGCTATCATGTCACCCCTTACTCCTTTTCTTTGTTAGATTAGACCAGGGGCCTTTAAACCTGACAGCTTTAAGACTTGTGGACTTCAACTCCCAAAATTTCTCTTCCAGTTACGTTAGCTCAGGAATTCTTGGAGTTGAAGTCCACAAGTCTTAAATTTGCCAAGTTTGAAGATCCTTGGATTAGACATACCCAATTCCTGCAACCGTTTGTCATATTTTAGCCTCAGTCCCCTAATTATCTTTATTGCTCTTCTCCACTCTTTCTAGAGTCTCAACATCTTTTTTTATTGTAGTGACCAAAACTGGACACAGTATTCCAAATGTGGTGTTATCAAGGGATTATAAAGCAGTACTATACGTGATCTTGATACTATCCTTTTGTTGATGCAGACTAGGATTGTGTTGCTTTTTTGGCAACTGCAGCACATTGCTGGCTCATACTTAAGTCATTGTTCACTAGGCTTCCCAGATCCCAGTTTACTGCTCTTGAGTCAGGTATCACCTATTCTATTCCTGGGCATTTGTGGGGTTTTTTGCATAAGTGTAAAACCTTTTCTCATCACTGAATTGCATTTTGTTGGATAGGGGCCAGTATTAAAGCCTATCAAGTTCCTTCTGGATATTGAGACTGTCTTTTAAAGTGTTGGCTATTCCCTCCAGCTTGATGCCATCTTTAAATTGGATGAGTTTCTCTTCTATCATCTCATCCAAATAGTTTATGAAGATACTGAAAAGTATTAGGCTTAAAACAGAATCTTGAGGTGCCCCCCCCCCCACTTTATGCTTGCCTCTATATTGATATAGTCTCATTGAAAATTACACTCTGAGTGCAGTTGGACAGCTAACTGCAAATCCATCTGGTGGTGATGCTGTCTATCCTACATTTTTCTATATTATGAAGAAGTAGGCTGTGTCTAAGCAGTTTGGGTAAAGGAGGAGTTTTGGATGAAAATTTGGAAAGTAACAGAGACAATGAATGCTCTTGCCAAATTGATAAGTGTAAAAATACAATGTTGGAGTAGTTAATCTTTGATCATATAAAAAAAGTTCAACATAGACTGTACTATGGAGCCCACAAAAGAACTGTTGAGAATATGAATGCCAAAGACAGCTCAAGTCTTTTGCATTTTCTAGTAATATTGACACAAAGAATTAGTTTTCTGGAATTCTTTGTAGATCTTTGGGGAAGAGAGGAATTGTTCAACTATTTCTCTAATATTCAAATTGTCCTACTTTCATTGCCAATACAAGATTCATACCTGTTTTTGTAGTTTCTCGGTTATTGAATTAATTTGATCCTCATATAATATATGTCTTTTTCTGATTTTCTGTCTCTCCTTTTTCTTTCTAGGTTTGTATTTATTATGGGCACCTCTGTTTCACTGTCTCTCAGTGCTATGTTGAGACGGGGTTGTTCCAAATGGCAGTTGCTGGGCAAAGTCTTATGGAGAAGTCTCCTCCTATTTTTAATAGGACTCATAGTTATAAACCCAAATTATTGCCTTGGACCACGTAAGTGCTAAGAGATTTATATATATATTTATATTGACTAAAAATGTGCCCCTTAGTTTGTATATCATGATAGAATTTTGGGAAAAACTGAAATTCATACCGGTGCAACTATGTACAAATCGTTGCAACTATATAAGTTCTTGCAAAGCACTTCCATGTTTCCATGAAAATAAGATCTATCCTAAAATAAGGCCTAGCTTGATTTCTATGGGTGCACCTAATATAAAACCTAGCCTAAAAATACATCCCAGTTAAGACCCTGCCCAATCTATCCCATCGTCTGGTTGTATGAGATGGAATGAGATGCATGTGTAAAAATCAAGCTGGGGTGAGGGGGGGTGGAGCTGTCCTATGTGCCCCACACCCTTAGGACCATTGTAGCCAGGCCTTCAATGCCCCGACAGCTGTCCTGCCACTGCCCAACTTCTGCCGCCACTCACAGATGGACACCATGTGGTTCATCACACCGGTGCCACATCATGCCAGTGTCTCTGCTCATGGCTGGACACCATGTGCATCACACCAGTGCTGCCAATTGCGGCAGGAGGCTGTGTGGCTTGTCATGCTGGTGCTGCTGCTTGCACAGGTATGAGCCACCAGCATTCCGTGAGCAGTGACATCGGCACGTTGTACCACGTGGCGGCTTTCCACAAGTGACTGTAGAAGAACTTGGGCAGCAGTGAAACAGGTGTAAGGATATGGGAGTCCAGGTTGTGATAGTCCTAAGGTAAGCAGATAAGACATCTCCCCAAAATAAGATCTGGTGCTCATTTGGGGTTAGTTACCTTTCATATTGTTTCTAAATCATTGTAACACTCACCTTACCTTAATACACATATAGAGGGTATATCTAAATATTATAAAGTGGTTGGAATGAAATGACTTTGGAACCAACATGATAGTTTGGAGGATAAATTTATTAACATTTAATGCAGGTATCAGAATTAACAATTTTTATTTTGTTCTGATTCATTCATGTTTCTAATCCAGTGTATCATTTTGGAGAAACCTAGTTGACAAAACATTATTCCTTTTTTCTTCTATTATTTACCTTAGAAGTTACAGAAATCAATGTTGTTTAGTAAAATTATCTTATCTATACATTGAAGAGATCCCCACCACCATCACCACATACTCTGCAGCCTGAAATCCTTTAATTTAGTCATATTATCTTCCATGTTCTCTTTGTTAACCTCGAGTACTAAGAATTTTAAAAATGGTTAAAGAAAGCTTTACTGCATTCTTTCATACAGAGATTTAATACATGTCAGTTAAGTAACCTGGCCTTAAAATCCATGTCATGTGAGCAATAAAAGCATATTGTTACACTTAATTTCCAGACATACTTTTTCTTGATCTTTCAAACCCAATCTTTATCATCAGCAGGTTGAAATGTTACGTGACCTTCTCTTTATGATAGAGCAAGAGTGTCAAACTGGCATTCCACGGGGTGGATATGTCACACACAGGCCACGCCTGCCTCAGCTCCACAAAGGGAAAAACCATCATGAAACGTCATGTGATGCCATGATACCGCGAGTTTGACGCCCATGTCATAGAGAAATGTAGATTGCAAAGATGTAAACATTATTTCTCTCTTTTAGGCATACACAGAGCATATTGTATATATAGAATTGGATGTAGGCACTCAATATCACCATACTACAGATCTATGCTTCAACTGCAGACTCAAATGATGATGAAATTGAACTTTTTTTTTTACAATGAGCTTCAATGTGCTCACAAGCAAATACCCCCCAAAATAAAATTTGTGTATATTATAGGCAATTTCAGGGTAATAGTAGGCCAAGAAGAAGTTACAAGAATATTAGGCAAGTTTGGGCTAAGTGATTGGAATGAAGCTGGTGATTGCCTAGTACAATTTTGCCAGGAAAATAATCTCAGCATAATGAACACATGATTTACTCAACACAGCACATGTACAATGCCAAATGGACAACATTGGAATCAAGTAGACTTCACATTGTCAACAACTCTGGGAAGATTCAGTTGCATTTATTAAGACATTACTGGCATTGATTGTAGCTCAAACCATCAGCTATTAATAGCTAAACTAGCTCAAACTGCAAAGTGAAAAAAATTACTTTCTCCCCAAAATTCAGTGTGAAACACATCTTATCTAGGTAACACCTTAAAAGTTAAGAATAGGTTTGAACTTGAAGGGAAAGACCAAATGAATGGGGG